TATAATATATATATATATATATATATATATATATATATATATATATATATATATATATATATATAATCAGTGTATAATCTATATATGATAGAAACAGTAAACAATGAATTAGCCGGCTATTTGCGTAAAAGTCCCAACTTAATAAGACTTGTAAAAGTTAGAACATAAATATTGGGCCAACCTGAGAGTGAGCTGGTCACAAAAGGGCTTTTGAGCTCATTCATGTTCGGAACAAGCCCAAGCCCAAGACCAAATACTTACATGGTCCAATATGAAGAAATGACACTGTGCAATGACAAATCTAGCCCTCATTGAAGTAAGACTGTAAGAGAGAGAATCAAAGGAGGTTTAAGCTAAGGTTCAGTCATTTTCTTTGCACCCAAATCTCGACGCCGATTTCCTGGTCTCTCTCCAGAACCAAGGTCAGTGTGTGTGTGCGTGTTTTTTTTTTAGTTCAAAGCTTTAACTTTCTCTTTGATACTTATTATAATGAAGCGACATGTTTAGCAAATTTATAATCTTAAATATTCATGTGATTTTATACATCTACTATTTCCTTATAGCTGATTACTTTGGGGAGGGGGCTCTGGGGTTTTATTTTTGGTGTTGTTGGTTGATCATTGATTGCATTGATTTCTAATATTAGGTATTACTGTTTTTGATGCATTTAGGTATAGTCAAATTATTGAATATTTTTTCTAAAGATTTGTGTTTTTGATATCTCACTGTTAGTAATATGAACCAAATGGGGTTTAAAAAGACAATCTTCTTCTCGGTTTGGTTGATGATTTCAGTATATTTATGGAAAAGTAAAAAAATTCAGTATGGAGTAACATTTGTCCATTAACCAGATGGCTTAATAGTCTGAAATGTAATTGGCTCTCAGTAATCATGGGGAAATCACACTAAGACGATATATACTGCTGATGTTGGAGAAATATTTGCCAATTCAAAAACGATAAGGTGCACCCAAGGGTGTGGCCTAGAGGTCAACAAGTGGAGGAGAACCATGAGGTCTTAGGTTCAAATCCCAAAGGAGGCAAAAATACTAGGTGTTTTTTCCATCTGTCAAAGCCTCGGTAGGTAGAGCTAGTCGGTACTTGTGCTGGGAGGTAGCAAGTGCCCAATGGAATAGTAGAGGTGTGTGAAAGTTGGCTTGGACATTACCTTCATTAAGAAAAAACAATGAGTTGTCACAAATATTCAAGTTTATGAGATGAAAACTCTATTTTGCATGCCATTCCACAACTTCTTAGCTATACTTGGTGTAAATTTGTTATGGTGGTGTTGGAATTGGAACAAAGTAAATTAGTTAAGTGTTCTTTTGGATATGATAAATTTTGGTAGATATGTATTCTTTGTCTATATGTTCTGTTTGTGAGCGAGGCAATTTCATAGAGCTAGTGAAGAAAAGCATATAATATTGACATAGGAAAACAGAGAAACAAATTCATTTGGCCCGTTAGAATGTTCAACTTGTCAACTGTAAATACAAAATGTCATGTTGCTTGGTTCTGGTTAGGGTTTATGTATAATGTGCGGAAATTTGTATTTCCTTCGTGTTCCTTCATTATCTCTTTCACTATCTAACAATGTAGCTCTGGATCATGTGGGGATAACCTATTTTATGCTAATTGTTTATCAATATTGATCAGAGTCATTTCACTTGAACAAGAGATGGACCAGAGCCCGGCACCGTTTTCAGAGATTGGGAGGCGGGCAAGAGGTAATACTTCACCCTCATTTAATGAGTACTGAATCTATTTATGCTTTTGATACTTGTTTGGAAGGTAAAAAAGTAAAAATAAAAATATTAGGGTGCTACGGAACATAGTTCTTAAACTTGATCAGCATAGCCATTTGTATTGGGAACCAAGCATGTCTTCCTTTCTAGGCTGTTTAGGTAGTCAGACCTCTTAAATAGTCAACCAGGATAAACTAAGTACCCTGCCACCCTTGATATAACCTGTTATGCAGGAGGGGGTTTCTGCATTTGAGCCTCGGAATACTGGTATCTTTTGGAATCACACTAGACTCTCCCAAGCGTGTACCAGTACCATTATTGAGCCAATTGACAACCATGTATTGGTGCTTCGCTTAACCAACTCTACACAATCTCCTGTAGGAAGAAGTTACATGTTTCTTCCCCATTTATGTACTTATAGCCTGTGGCTCATATATTAACTCTCTGTTTGTTCAGAGTATAGTAAATATATTATGTAATGCGGAATATTTTATGTAATTCGGATTATCTCATAAGCTTTTAACAGTTGTCGTACTAAGTCAGAAAGAAAAAATTTGTAATACGTGCTTTTGAGAATATTTTATGCCCAATCTTTCCTTAAACCCCCCCAAAAGAAAAGGAAAAATAAAAAAGAAAAGTAAAAGACTTTATGCCCAATCCTAAGTATAGAACTACAGGTTGCATTTTCATCAGCCCTCTGAACAATATGCCAAATATGTTCTTGATTATAAGCAGAGAAAGTCATAAATAGATGGGGTTTCAACATTTAAATATGAGAGTGTTTTAGACCTTAGTCGAGCTGAGTTTGCCCGAACGCGCCTCCTAAACTTGCTGAAATAGGTTATTCCAAACCTTGAATGAGAGTAAGTCGGGCTAAATGTCAGCTAACATCAGGTCATCGTGAAGCTGTGCAGAGATTGCAGCAGGACAAATTAAGCTCAGATCTACACCAGTTTGCTTATATAGATAGCCTATTTGTTCCGTACTGATTTCTCCCATTTAGATTGTTATAACAAAAGTGAAGTATATAGTTTTGAGTTTTGATTCTTTTGTTATCATCAAAATTCCTTAAATAGATTTCTATATAATGATCATCATGTCAAGACTAATCTAAAGATTTTGTCATTTAACAATTTGGGCAACTTCTATCCATCTCTTAGATTATCTTTTCTCGGAAAGGGAGGTTGCATTTCTTATTAATCAGAATCTCTTCTATTGAATTGTAAATTGCCCTCATTGTGCAGATCTATTGACCAAAGACTACAACTATGATCAGAAGTTCTCCTTCTCTATTCCGAGCTCCAGTGGAGTGGTACTAGCTTATTCTATCATTTTCTCTTTCATTTAGTTTACTTGGCCTGTCAAATCTTCTATTGGGCTTCAGAAGGCTGTCAAACTTTTTCACTTGCACATCTTATCTGTTTTTATTTATTGTAGTTTGTTTATAAGTTATGGGATACAAATGTATACTCTATTTACAAAATCATCCATTTGCTCTGAAATTCATTATAATGCGGCTTCCAGTTTGAGAGTCTGATGTCCTAGAATTGTCAAATGTGAAAAATGTTTGCTGGGGCTTTAAGCGCAAGGCGTAGTTAATGCACGAAATATGATGAATAAGACGCTAATGAAGAAAAATAAACTATAATGTGTGGAATGTAAGAAAATAACTATATACACAAACTATAATATTTTGGATTAGGTAAAACTCCCTCGAAAAGCGAAAAGGTACACATAAAATGGAACAGAGGGAGTATTATAAAACAAACATATGAAGTATAGGATCACGTGAATGAAGTTCAAAACCATTTTAAATTTCTAATGTAGATGTAAAGATGTAGTTTTAAGTTTTTATTAATTAGTTTTCTTATAGTAAATTCTATTTTTAACAACAACAACAACAACAACATATCCAGTATTATCCCACACCGTGGGGGTCTGGGGAGGGTAGTGTGTACGCGGACCTTACCCCTACCTTGTGAGGGTAGAGAGGTTGTTTCCAATAGACCCTTGGCTCAGGAAAGCATAAGCACCACATTAATGAAAAGATATACTAAGTGTAAATTCTATGTTGTTATTCCTAATATAATACTTTGTCAACTATATCTATTGTCTAGTGTTGCCCTCTTAAAGGCAGAGCAGGTGGCATGAGTGACGTGCCTTGATGCCTGCACTTTAGTACCAGATAAGCAAGGTGAGGTGCCCAACTGCGCATCAGTAGCTTTAGGGTTTAAGCGCGCCTCTACCAAGCCTGTAACTATGCACCTTTGTTCGTTTAATAGTGTAACTGATGTTCATTAGTGAATTTGAAGTTAATAGAAAACGAAGAGAGTTTAAAAGTAATATAATCCTACACTGTCACACTTCCATGTGCCTATTAATAGGGGTATATGCATAAACCATCCTGTAGGGTTAAATTAGCAGATTGTACTCCATCTAAGAATGGATGTGTGTGTATATAACAGACAATTTTTCTGTTGAATTTTGGTAAGGCATTTAAACTTATTTACTCATGCCATGTTGTTTTGGTACATTTGTAGTATTCCAAATAGCCCTAATTATCAGGTAAGAGATTTTCTATTCCACATATGGCTGACCACTGATACAGTAGTAATTAGCACATTTTCAATTTAATAATTGGTGTAGATGAGGGGGTATACGAGGGAGCAGAGGAGGTAAAGGGGGCAATAGTGACATTTTATGAATGTCGAGATAAAGAGGAGGTTAGTTGGAGATCAAAGTTGGGTGGGTAGCATTCAATCAAATAGGAGAAATAAGTAGGGAGTGATTGGAGAGAGTGATGAGAGAAGATAAGGTTAGGAAGGCTAGTTGTACAGGCGATAAGGCCCTGAGATTGGATGGATTCACCTGGCTTCTTCCAGACAGTGTTGGAGTACTATCGAAGAAGAGGTTATTGAGATCATCGCTGCATTTTGGGAGACTGGAGAATTTGAAAGAAGCATTAATGCATCCTCCATACCCATAATACTGAAAAAGGAGGGAGCATTAATGCACATGCTATATAATTTTTCAAGGAATTTATTTTATTAGAAGCTTGCTTGATCTAAGTGCTTCATTGGCTAAAATAACAGGTTACATTTGCTAATGCATCTCGATTCTGCTTGATTATGTTGTTCCATTAGGTAATGTATATCCATTTGGAATTGATCTTGAAATGCTTCATACATTTGCATAAGATTGCAATTTGTTTGGTAGTGATGGGGGTGAATTTGTTGGTAATCATACTTGGTATGCTTTCATCTGTTGTAAGTTTGAACCTTTACCAATAGATGTAGCTGGTGGGTTATGAAGTTTGGTGTAGCTGACCCTTATCATTGTTATGTAGTGTGAAACTTTTTTCTATGTCTTATTACTTATTCTAGAGTTCTATTTGAATTGATCCTAACTTCCCTTGTTTTCTCATGTTAGGGAATAACAGCTACTGGTGTGAAGAAAGATCAAATTTTTGTTGGTGATATAAGTACTCAATATAAGCTCGGAAGTACAATTGTTGATGTCAAAGTTGATACCTACTCCAATGTAAGAGCAGAATGCCGGCCTCTAAGACCAAACAACTGTTTGTTTTCTTGATAATCTAATAAGTGATCATGAGATATAGTTAACCCTTTTTTATCTTGTTTATACCTTTGAGGAATTGACTTCTCATTGAAGTTTATATGTTATCTTTTATGCAGGTCTCAACTAAAGTCACTTTGAATGAAGTTTTCCGATCTGCAAAAGTGTCCCTTGGCTTCAACATACCAGATCACAAGTCTGGCAAGGTTAATACTTGTGTTTACTCTGTAGTCTGTACTAGTCAAAAGAATCTTTGCTCTGTTACTTATTCTAACTCTCTCCTTCAAATTTTCTAGCAAAGTATTTTTCATGATTGAAGGTGAACACCTTTTTCTGATTGTTCCTCGATATGGTCTGTCTGATACACATATTTGTGCCAAAGAATTATATTAGTGTACATGATATCGCAGATATTATGGCCAAAGAGACAAATAATAGAATAAAAAAGCTGCTTTTCCTGATAAAAAAGCTGCTTTTCAAAATAATTATTGCCAATTACGATAGAATAGTAGTAAGTTTTACAAAGAGTTCCTTTTTTTTTTCATTTCCACTTTTGACATAAATAATTCCTTTTTGCATAGATAAATGGTCGGCTTGATGGAAGCTAAAGAATAGCATACCTATATGAATGCATATGCAGGAAGATTGTAATATGTTTATGTCACCATTATTTGTGATTTAATAAAATGAAATTTGACTCATCAGAAATGGGTGATAAGTCATAGTTAGAGTTAGAAAAAGTAAAGAAAAACAATAGAGGAGAAACAAATGACAACTGATTTGATGTGCTAGAATTACTGTTTGTTTCACTGCAAAAAGATTGTGAAATCATCTATTAGCCTTGGAGACCAAATGGTCCTTTTGACTCTCTCTCTCTCTCTCTCTCTCTCTCTCTATCTCTATCTCTCTCTCTCTCTCTCTCTTGTAGTAGTAGTAGTAGCAGTATTGGTGGTCAGACACTGCGATAATTACTGCTATTACATAATCAGCCTAACTGATACAACAGCTCATACGGCTACTGGTTTATTTCTTTCTGACTTGTATATGGCTACTGCCTAGTAAACTCCAACTTAGTTAGTACATCTTGGTGCGAGCAACATCATTCTGGTCGTGCAGGTACAGGCAGATAATTGTTTGGTGAGTGATTAGGTGTTAATGGTGAACTAGCTGATACCTGGTGAGATGTCTCCTTGGCTGCTAGGTGAACTAAACTTAGGAATACTGCCCACTAGGTGTTATTCTTAGATATTTTCAGTGCGTGCAAGTAAATTATGTAGTTCAATTTAATGTATTATCATCCATGACTTGTTCACCTTTGCCCCATAACATCATCTTTTCCTTGCGCGTCTTAATGTTCAGAATGTCATGGTCTGAGCCATAAAAAGAGTTAGACACATGCACTTGAACATTTCATGGATGTTGGACTTCTTTTTATTTTCTTATTCCCAATCGGTAGTTTTTGGTGGATAGCTTATAACGTGTGAAATCTAGACTCCCTTGTTCACACGCCGCACTTGTCAAGTTGTCTTTGAAAGAAGAGATAGTATCAGAAGCTTTACTTTATATCCGGACGGGCGTGCGTTTCGTGAAGACCCTTATGCGGGTCATGGGGATTAGTATTCTATTACTTTGTTTTTCAATGTTGATATTTTCATCTTTTTTCTTTGTCAGATGATGCAAATGTCAACATGATTAAAATCTCTCAGTTTCTAAATTATAGTTGGGATCTATTTTCCGATCTAGTAGAACAGGGATAAAGCAGTTGAACCAATTATTTCACTTAGGGGAGCAAGCTCTACCTGTTAATATTTTAGCGTCTGACTCATGCACATGTTTGTGAGAGTCAAATATGTTGATACCATTAGTTGTTTGTGGTACAGTTTTTCCAATTTCCTAGATTTTAATCTGCATTTTGTTTTGCTGATATAAAAAAACTGTATTTCATTTGGTTTGTGAACTCTTATCAATCTTTGGAATCAATTTTTGTTCAGCTTGATGTTCAGTACCTTCATCAACATGCTGCCATCAACTCCAGTATTGGCTTAAATCCCTCCCCTCTCTTGGAGCTCTCTGCTGCTATTGGTAGCAAGGATTTAGCCCTTGGTGGTGAAATAGGTTTCAATACTGCTTCGTCTTCTTTTACCAAGTGCAACGCAGGGATTAGTTTTAACAAACCGGATTTTTCTGCTGCACTTATATTGTAAGTAATTGATTTTTGTTCTTTGCTTGATATGCATTTGGTGTTCTGAGTTCTCCAAATGTGTTCCTGCCAGTTATGTGAAAGTAGGACGCAATCCAACTGCGGGACATGCAATTATATGACTTTTCTACATCCCTTGTTTCATTTGCTTTTTGTTTCTTCCTGTTGTATAATGATCTCCCTCATCACTGTTGAGATCAAGGGATGCTAAAGCTGTGCTTCTCTATGTTAATAAGAGTGAACACTCCAATAATCCCCTTCTGTTCTGCAGTTTACGCCCAAAGCAAAGACATTTGTTGGAATCCCATATCCGCTTAAGTGCATGGACTATAGTCTTCCTTAAGGTCTTTTCCAATTCTATCACTTGAGCTAATTTTTGGGGTTGAGTTCGATACATTTTCCCAACCTGGTGTAATGGTGTCATAGCCAGACATATCATGATGTTGGGCTAAAAATGTTGGGCACCGGTGTAATGTTACTCCACGCTTGAGATGTCCAGCTTTGAGCGTGCAAGAGGAGAGGTAGTGTTATAACACCCGATGCGAAGTGTATGAGCTGTAGTATCCTCATGTAGCCTCAGACATCTTCACCATTTGAGCTAGCTTCTGAGGTCTTAGTTATGCTCAACATTCATTTTCTTAATCGAAATCTGGCTATAATACCAACTATGTGTATAATATAGATCTCTGGCCTAACTCAATCAAAAAGTTAGCTTAAGTGGTTAGGATTGGCTGAGACAATACAAGAAGACTATGTCCCATATATATTGGCGATATGGGATCTAACATCATTCACCAAATATTTTCTCTGCCAAGCTTGAATATAACCTTCTTAGGAGAGAACGTTAGAATAGCTGTGCACTGGAAAATTTGATAACAATCCTAAGATTAGAGAAACTAATCTTTAGTCTTTTTAGGAACAATAACCCGATGTGGAAACTAGTTTTTACTTGCATAAAACATCAGTCCAGAAATAAAATTGCAAATAGTAACACTCAAAAATTTAAAGAAAGGCTGACTGATTAGGTTTCCTACTAATTAACGAGGAATTTAAGAAGCAAAAATGAAGTATATTGAACACCCATTACTGAATAAAATTAAGGTGAATCTGGATTGTAAGTTTCCTAATCAATAGAACTGAAACATAAAATGGCTTTGTATTTGTTGTCTGTCCCATTGCTTCTTCTTTAGGTCTCCAAACTGTGTCAATACTGTCTAGCCAATCAATTGCATTACATTGGCCATGTTGCTTAGAATCTAAATCAGGTCATACAAATAGGTTAGAAGGAGTATATGAAATGCTCAATAGATCGTGCTAGCAAAGAAGATCTCTCTGTTTTATGTGCAAGCTGTATGTATGTTATTGTCCTTTGTTGGGATTAGGAAGAGAGCTGGTTAATTTGAAACATACATTGATTGTCTAAAGCAATATCTAATTTTATATGGATAGAAAGGTAATGAAGCAAAACCTGGAGATTCAAAGGAAAGTACAGTATCAGATTAGGGAATACAGATGTTATCTATGAAATTTGCTACACATCTCTGCTCTCTGTTGGTTCTTTTTTTTTTTTTTTTTTTTTTTTTTTGAAGCTGAATTTTTTTTTTATTATTTTACTATTTTCAGCTTCTAAAGCATATTTCTAACACTCTCCAAGCATTAATGACAGTTTTTCTATTTCAAGATTCTTATTTAGTTGTAGTATTAAAAAGAAATGTGCAACTGTGGTGTGAATTAATTTGCTGCTTACTTTGCTGAAGTGTGTTTTTCCTGTTGAACATATAAAAAAAATTGTTATCCAAATTTCCTGAATTGCACATTTTTGTTGAAGCATTTACATCACTTGGGATATTATATTGGATTACTAAAATCTGCATATCTGAGATTATAGTCTATATGGTGGCTTTGGAAATGAGGGGTTGTATTTAGCATTTCAATTTTCATTTGTTTCTTGAGCTCATAAAGTGGCACAGAACTCCGGTTTTCCCTTCACTAGTAGGGGGAACCATTGTTCCTATGCTGCCGGGTTACCCAGTCCTTTCTTTAGTAAGTGTGTGCCTTTTACAATGCGTGTGGGTTTCTGCACATTGCTCTGATGTGGCTGAAGTTGCATGCATTGTCAAGGCTTCAATTACCATTTTGATGTAGCAAGCTTTAGTCTTTTGTTTTTTTACCCCCCTTTCAATCCCTCAGTTGTTGCATTTAAATGCACTCATCATCAGCTTTATTCGTTCAATAAATTAGAGATTTTAACTTGTGCTTGTGCAATATGTACAACATTTCTTTGATATTTCTGAGTGTCTAATCTGCAATGTTGTTGCTATCCATATAGAACGGACAAGGGACAAGCTGTGAAGGCATCATATGTACACTCTGTCGATCCAGCAAGTGGAACTGAAGTTGCTGCGGAGATGATTCACAGATTATCTACCTATGAGAACAGCTTCAGCATCGGGAGTGCTCACAAAGTCGATCCATTAACATCTGTGAAGACTAGGTTTTCTGACAATGGGAAGGTTGCAATGCTTTGCCAGCGGGAATGGAGGCCAAAGTCACTTATTACTTTCTCAGCAGAGTATGACACAAAGGCAAAGAATGCTGTGCCTAAGTTGGGTCTTGCCCTTGCTTTGAAGCCATAAAAAGGTGCTATCTCTAATTCAACCAATTTTTACTTGGTAGCTTGACGTTGTTCAAATTCTTTCGAAGGCCTAAAGTGTGGCCGTTACATCTTCCTCACATCATTCCAGAGGACACTGGGAAACCAAACCCATTTTTGTCAGATTCATATAATGATGATAAATTTGAAAGAATACGTTACAGGAGCGTTGTTGCATAAAGTTCTTCAAGGTCTACTGGCTTTCTATTACCTTGAAACTTGATACTATATATTTTTTTGAGAATGTAATTTTTCTGATCCCTCGTGTTTTCTGATCCATCATTTCTGGCACCTCGTTAGGATGCATCTCTACAAATTTTAGGATTTTGCTTCACAATTCTATTTTGTTATATTTAACATGGACTAGTTACTCTTTACTGAGCTGGAAAATGAAAGAAAAAGAAAATAGGAAAGTCTTGGAGAAAAATTGGTTGATGGGTTATCTAAATATAGTAGCTTGTATTTATTTTACTGTGTGGCTAGATACGCGGTTAATCAAGTCGCTGAATGCCGCTAGAGCATTAGTCAATCCAAAAGACATCACCAAGAACTCATAATGAACATAACGAGAAATGAACATAACGAGTCTTGAAAGCTATCATAGGAATGTCAGAAGCTTGAATTTTCAATTGGTGATAACTCGATCCAAATCAATCTTGGAGAATGTCTTAGCACCTTGAAGCTGATCAAAGAAATCATCAATATAAGACAATGGATACATATTCTTGATGGTATGATTATGTCGATAACGAGATCGTTTCTTGCTTTTTTTAGCACCTTGACTACTCTGCTTACTTAACACAAGTCTTATTTAGTGTTTTTTCTTTTGGTTGATAATGATGTATCATTCAAGAAAATCATGGATGGGTATAAAGTGATGAACTTCGTAGTTAACGTCTTTAAGCTTTGTCAACGAGATGTGTAAGTTGATAAAGTAAACAAAGCACACATATGTATGCCTAATGACTAAATCTCCACAAAATTTAATCAGCCATATGCATCTTTAGAATGGAAGTAGGTAAGCTGTACCATCTGTTACACTGCGATGACCATATCAAACTTTCGGCCTCTATTTAATTTTTTTGTATAAAGATACATTGTTAGAAGGGATGTTTTGGAACAACGGTAAAATTGTCGCCGTGTGATCTTTAGGTCATAGGTTCGAGCCGTATTAGCAGCCACTGATGCTTGCATTAGGATAAGCTGTCTACATCATACTCTTAGGAATGCAGCCCTTCCTCGGATCCTGTGTGAATGTGAGATGCTTTGTGCACCGGACTGTCCTCTATAAAAATACATTATTACATATATTAGTGTATTTGAAGTTATGTTTTTGACTAGTCATTATGTTAGGTGAACATGTACAATTGAGTGTAGTACCTCATATGAACCTCTATTCAAATGTGGCGTCACATACTCCTATATAATAATAAATATATAAGCAAGTTGGAGAAACAACAAGGAAAAAAGAAAACAAACAATAGAACACTAGCGAAAAGGGTTTGTTACTAGGGTAACAATGATTACTCGTTTTATCGAATGATTATACTTGTAGAATTTTTGGACTTAGATTGAGTTGAAATTATTCAAAAAAAGTATTTGAAGTTGAAGTGTGTGTGTTTAATTTGGACATTAATTTTAATTGAGATAAAAAACTTGAAATTTTCTGAGTGGAAACTAGAAATAGAAAACTGTTTAATTTCGATTACCAAGTCCAAATTATTAGTATGTGTTCTTTTAGCCACAAGTATGACTTGTTAGCAAATAACCCTTGATTATTACACCTTTTAACTTTAAAGATGAAGTTTTTCATATAAGAAAAATGTACAGAAATAATTAACTGACCTCAATTAATTATGTGCACTCTTACATTTAAAAAGTTTCAATTGACATAGTACTTATTATAGTATCATATCTTGCGATATTAATTTTGACTTAAAACCAAATTGTAATCTTTATGATATAGCCGGCCGGCCGTATCATGCAAGTAATTATATTGTGTTATAGCTCATGCGCTGTCATAATGCTAAATTTCCAATATTAATTGTATATAGTTAGATATAATTGACTGTAATAATTCAGTCGTAACCGTAAGAGTATACCATATTAAATTCTTCGACAAATATGGATGAAAGTCCCAAAAAAAGAAAAAACATTTTAAAGATGAATGATACCCGTAAATATTATAATATCCATATAAGTCTAGTGAGCAGGCTAAAGCTATCTAATCTACGTAGTTTAACTAATATCCACCCATGTTATAAAGAATTGGCAGCCCGGTGCACAAGGTATCTTGCGTTTACGTTGGGTCCGGAAAATGGTCGCACCCGAATGGATGTGATGTAGACAGTCTACCACATTAGTGGTTGTTTTCACTGCTCGAACACATGACTTATAGGTCATACAGAGACAGCACTACCGTTGCTCCAAGGCTCCTCTTCCCATGATATAAAGAACTCTTACACTATAAATGAGGTCATATTTTCTGTTGTAGTATGTCATCTGTCTTATTTTTAAAATTACAAAGTTCATGCAGATAATTTTTGGGTGATATCATGATAATATAATTTTTTTTACACGATCAATATATATAACTTAAAATCCATCTACTTTTTTGAATACATTTCTACACCATTTCTTCAGAAACTCCAAACAATTATAAAATACTAATCCATTAATTTACCAGTTCCTCTATCATCACCTAACCCTCTTGCCTTTGTCTTTAACTTCCTACCAATTCCCAAACAAACCAAAGATAAATTAAGCTTCATCTTAATTATACCTCTATACCAAAAAACCACCTTCCCTTTTCTTCTCTCTCTTTTCCTCTCCATAACAAAAACAAAAGACTATGGAAATGGTGAAAAACAAAGAAAATCACAATGATCAATACATTTTTCGATCAAAACTTCCTGATATTTACATTCCAAATCATCTCCCTCTTCATACTTATTGCTTTGAAAATATCTCCCAATTCAGTTCACGTACTTGCTTGATCAATAGTGCCACGGGTGCAACATATACCTATGCCGATGTTGAACTCACCTCCAAAAGAGTTGCTATCGGACTTTACAAACTTGGAATTCAACAAAGAGATGTTATCATGCTTTTACTTCCGAATTCGCCCGAATTCGTGTTCGCGTTCCTCGGAGCATCGTTCCGAGGAGCGATAAGCACGACGGCGAATCCGTTCTACACGCCGTCGGAGATCACAAAGCAAGCAAAAGCATCAAATGTGAAGCTTATTATTACACAATCTTGTTACGTTGATAAAGTCAAGAGTTTCGCTGAGGAAAACGAGGTGAAAATTATGTGTACGGATAACTCACCACCAGAATATGGTTGTCTTAGTTTCGCTGAGTTAATTACTGATCAATCAGAAGAAGATAATCATAATTATGATTATAATACCATTTTATCTGATATAGAAATCTTTTCTGACGATGTCGTGGCGTTGCCTTATTCGTCGGGCACGACGGGGTTGCCCAAAGGAGTAATGTTAACACATAAAGGGCTAGTAACAAGTATAGCACAACAAGTTGATGGTGAAAACCCTAATCTTTATTTCAATAGTGAAGATGTGATTATGTGTGTTTTGCCATTGTTTCATATTTATTCACTCAATTCTGTGTTGCTTTGTGGGCTAAGAGTTGGGGCAACAATTTTAATAATGCAAAAGTTTGAGATTAAAGGATTAATGGAGCTAGTTGAGAAGTATAGGGTGACAATTGCACCATTTGTGCCGCCTATAGTTTTGGCCATAGCAAAAAGTCCATTGGTTGATAAATATGATTTGTCAAGTATAAGGATGATAATGTCAGGAGCTGCACCAATGGGGAAAGAGCTTGAAGATACTGTTAGAGCTAAATTGCCGAATGCCATACTAGGACAGGTAAAATACTATGCAAATTTTGCTTCTTGCATTTATGAATTTAGCATCAGGGTAGGCTGCCTACGTCACATGTCTTGGTGTGCGGTCTTTCCTCGAGCCCCGCATAAATGCGAGATGCTTAGTGCACAGGGCTACGCTTTGCCCTTATATATATTGATGCGATTATAGTTAGACTATTGAACGTCGATATGACCATCCCCTCATCTCCCCTCCAATAAATGTCTTAGTTTACTGGTGGAGTCGGGTCCATATGACCTTTTTTCTTCGTCTATTGAAGATGAGAATTGAGAAAATTGAGTATAATTTACTCTCTTCAAACCTCAACCAAGAAGGGGGAAGGAAATATCAGGGGGGCCATACCAAGATTTTAGTACCAAAAAAGAAAAAGATTTTAGTACGATGTTAAATGATAAGCATGTTATATTACTACTCCATCCATCCGTAATTTGACTTATTGCACGTCAACCTTTTAACAAACAAAACGGTATTTTGATTATAAGGTAACATTATCATGTGCATGCAATTAAGGTTTAACTAATATTATTAGTTGTTGTAATGTGCAAATTAAATAGGGATATGGAATGACTGAAGCAGGTCCAGTGTTATCAATGTGTCTAGCCTTTGCAAAACAACAGTTTGAAGTCAAGTCAGGTTCCTGTGGGACAGTTGTTCGGAATGCTGAGATGAAGATCGTCGACACCAACACCGGTGCGTCGCTTCCCCGGAATCATGCCGGAGAAATCTGCATTAGAGGTGATCAGATTATGAAAGGTACGTTCCATTCATGTTGGAATAAGCATCGATAAATTAAAGACCAGAGGCGGATTATACAACAAGAATATAAGGGGCAGAATAATATGAGCCATCTTTACATAAATAGCCATCTGAATTCACTGTGCTGATATACATTAATTATACGCTATTATATACAGTTATATACATATGTTACATATCCTCCAGCTATTTTTAGTTTAAACAGTTAGGTGGACGACTATTTAAATTAATTATTCACAATATTAATTCTATTGTTTTATACTTGATTGCACAAATGCCATGTAACATTTAGTGGAATTGGAGTTTATGGGCGCAAATAATAGACTTTAGGTGTGGATTCATTGCTGCATTTTGACCCAAGTTATATGGGCCTATGAGATTTCCTACTGTGATTTTGGGCCACAGGAAGGCAATAGGTTGGCGTCGAAATGACACTAGGTAGCCACTCTAAAGGGTACTATTTAGGAATTAGCCAGTGCATCCTGAATTTCAATTTTTCAGTTTAATTTTTCGGGGCAAAAATTTCCTCAATTATCCTAAAGATAAGATTTTTAGTTTAAAATTTCAGAACAAAATAAGTAAGTACTTGCTAATCATTAAATTTTCTGAGAATGGCTATCTGTGCATTTGTTTGGCCCAAGATAATGGTCCAAAATATGAAGTATCTCGTTTATAACTCTGTAAGCCATATATACATGATGTATAATGAACAAAAATGGTCACAAAAAGAAATCGAAATTAATAATTTTAGATAATCTAATATTTCTGAAAAATTATGTTCTATTGAAATATGATGGATATTAAGACTTAGGTAGTTTTTAAAATCCTTAGGCTTTCACTTTATTTTTGCACAGGATATCTGAATAATCCAAAAGCGACAGAGGAAACAATAGACAAAGAAGGATGGTTACACACTGGTGACATTGGATACATAGATGATGATGATCAAGTATTTATTGTGGATAGATTAAAAGAATTAATCAAATACAAAGGATATCAAGTTGCTCCTGCTGAATTAGAAGCTCTACTAATTTCTAATCCAAATATAACTGATGCTGCTGTTGTACCGTAAGTCCCTTTCTCTACTTTTATATTAATAATGGTAGTCCGATGCACAAAGCACCCCGCGTTCAAATGACTTATGCGCAGGATGAAAGATGAGGTTGCAGGAGAAGTTCCTGTTGCTTTTGTAGTGAGAGCAAATGGTAGCAACATTTCAGAGGAAGAGATCAAAAAATATATATCCGAACAGGTAATTGTCATATCTTATTTATTCTTTTCTCTTTTGGTTTTCTACCCGGTGTATGGTAAGATCAGAAAAAAATAAAAAATAGCCAGATTTACAACTGGTAATTGAGAAATAGTTATAGTTTCAAAAGTAATCAAAATTTAGCCATTTTTTTTATGTAAAGATAAAATCTCAACAAAAGCACCCTTATAAATCCGGAAAAATTTCAGCATATTATGCTGGAGTTTGAAATTAATTACATATGAGATTCTACCACAATGTGCTGGAATTTCATAATGTGTAAGAGTTCCAACATAATATTCTGGAAGTTTATACGCAAGAGCTCCATAATCCAACATATTATGTTGGAACTTTCTGTGTGCTGAAGTTCCAATATAATATGCTGGAGGTTTATACGCAGGAGCTCCATAAACCAGCATATTATGCTGGAGCTTTCCGAGTGTCATCAAAATAGCGGCTATTTTTAATGACTTTATAAACGCTGGCTATTTTTCAAGTATCTATCCGAAAAATGGCTAGCCCGTGCAATTTTTACGGTAATACTCGCATGAAGGTCTCGATTAATCTGAATTCGCTGAGCATAAGTCCCATTAAAAGGGGAAGCGCTCCCTACCAAAATTTTTTCATTCTCAAAGCTTAAAATCGAGACTAAGAGTGAAGAGATCTTATCTATCCTGCCACTACCCATGATGATATATCTTATTTATTCCAAGCATAGAGGAAGAGAAGCTTGCAAAAATTTAAAAAAAAAAAAAAAAAACCTTTCCTGAATAGGAAACGCAACTGTATCTTTGATCTCCATACAATACATAATCTACTTTCTTGATTGATCATAAATAATTAAACCTGACTGAAAGAAATTTAAATATATAATTGATGCAGGTTATATTTTACAAGCGAATCAATCGAGTATTTTTCACAGAAGCAATCCCAAAAGCTCCATCAGGGAAAATACTTCGAAAAGATTTAAGAGCCAAGCTTGCGACAGGTTTAGCTTGTTAATTCAAATATGGAAATATTAAATACTTATATATAATTGTTTTACTTCATAGGAATTTGTACAATATTGAATTACGTATGCATGCTTATTTGTATATTTAACCAATTATGAAATCACTTAATTACCCTTTTTGATTAATTATCTATGTATTTTATAACGGAATTTTGAAAAGAAATGTTAAGATTTCTTACATCTTTTTCAAATTTGAAATGGTATTTCAATTACTTAAATTTAATAGAACATATATATCATTATATATCGTATTGATTTTTATGTTTATTTATTAAATTCGGTAAATCTTGAAAGTGTACATCAACAAAAAGTCATTATTAGACGACTAGAAAATAACTATCATGTGTAACTAAAAATATTCTCCCATAAAATATTTTAATAGATCATATGTTTGTCAATTTTTACTAAACATATGTTCACTTATAAAAACTTTATCTATAACACAAAGTAAGATTGCATTAATATTTATATAATAAAAAACCCAAAAAATTTAAACAAGTCGAACCGATCAAAATCAATATAATTGGTTTGGTTTGGTTTTGATAAAAATCGAACCAACTCGATCCATGGTACATTAGCTGCTTACTACTTGGCGTGATTTTTGGTAATACATGGATGCATGTACCGGATTTGCTGTCTTTTCTTCAAAGATCATTGAATAAAGTAATATTTTTTCTTCGATATGGCTGTATTGGTCAAAATCCGATCGCTGCAGTCGGCCTGACCAAGATCCCGTCCAACGACGAGACAGTGAAAGACGACATGGTTTGCTCCAAAATCTCGTACTCATAACGCCCACCGTGACAAAGAACGACACTCAGGGAACGACGAAAGCGGACGTTGTGCGAATTTGTATTCACCCATAGTGAGGATTCCATAACTATATATAGGGGAGGAGTCTCTCAATGGGACGAAGGCTTTTTCTCTCTCTTCTCTCTCCTCTGTAATCTTCCTAGAAAAAGGAGCATTCCCATGGAAGACGAAAAACAGTCATCTTCATCGATTAATGAACGAAGAAATGACAAATATCAATAAGATTGATCACCCCTATTTCATCTTATGCATTATTTCTAATTTGTTATGGATCTGGAGGTTATA